GGAGTCTCACTCGGTCGCCCAGACTGGAGTGCAGTGGCCGCTGCCGGCCACCGCAGCCTTGACCTGCTGAGCTCCGGTGATCCTTCCACCACAGCCTTCCAAGTAGCTGGAACTACAGGTGCGCGCTACCACGCCCAGTTAATTTTTGATTTACTGTAGAGACGAGGTCTTGCCAAGTTGCCCAGGAGCTTCTTGAACCCGCAGACTCAGGCAATCCACTCACCTCAGCCTCCCAAGGTGCGGGATTACAGGCTAAGCCGCCAAGCCCAGCTTCTTCTTCTTTTTTTTTTTTTTTTTTGAGTTAGAGTCCTCAGCCCTCCAAGTAGCTGGAACTACAGGCGTGCACTACCACATCCGGCTAATTTTTGGTTTATTGTAGAGATGAGGTCTTCCCAAGTTGCCCGGGCGGGTTTCGAACCCGAGGGCTCAGGCAATCCACTCACCTCAGCCTCCCAAAGCGCTGCGATTACAGGCTGAGCCACCGAGCCCGGCTATTAATTTTTTAAAAGCATCTGTTCAACACAAGCACTGTCTTGATAAAATAAATGAAGAAGACTTTACAATGATTGATTTGCTGGAATTCTGATTTCTGATCTAAAGAGAATCATTTGGTGGCTGTAATGAGAAATGTCACCCTCACAGACCAATTGATTTCCTCACTTCATGCAGCAATATCAGGTAAGGAAGTCAAAGGTTGATACCAAAGAACACTACCCATAGAATAAAGAAGTCGGCCTGGCGTGGTGGCTCATGCCTATAATTCCAGCACTTTGGGAGACTGAGGTAAGAGGATTGCCTGAGCCCATGGGTTCTAGATCAGCCTGGGAAATTTGGTGAGACCTCATCTCTACAATAAATCAAAAAATTAGCTGGGCATCATAGCTCATACCTGTAGTTCCAGCTACTTGGAAGCCTGAGGTAGAAGGATCACCTGAACTCAGTAGGTTGAGGCTGTGGTGGTGTGAGCATGCCACTGTACCCCAGCCTGGGCGACAGAGTGAGAATCCAACTCAAAAAAAAAAAACCACAAAAAAAAATCTCACTGCTATGTGCTGAGGTTGGTACTACAGACCAGTCTCCCGTTTCAGATGAGGAAAACTGAGTCGCAAAGAGATTATGTATCTCCCCAAGATACAGAGCTAGTAAGTGGCAAAACTAAAATTCAAACCCAGGTATTAATGTTTCATTTAAAAATATTTACTCTTGGCTGGGCGTGGTGGCTCATGCCTATAATCCCCGCACTTTGGGAGACCGAGGTACCAAAGTGAGAGAATTGCCTGAGTTCACGGGTTTAAGACCAGTTTGGGCAAATTGGTGAGACCTCATCTCTGCAATAAATCAAAAAATTAGCCAGACGTGATGGCAAATGCCTGTAGTTCCAACTACTTGGAAGGCTGAGGCAGAAGGATCGCCTGAACCCAGTAGGTCGAGGCTGTGGTGGCCGTAAGCCTGTCACTGCACTCCAGTCTGGGTGACAGAGTGAGACTCTGACTCAAAAAAATTTTTTAAAAATGTACTCTTAGCCTGGTATGGTGGCTCACACCTGTAATCCTAGCACTTTGGGAGGCTGAGGCAGGAGGATTGCTTGAGCCCAGGAGTTCAAGACTAGCTGAGGCAACATAGTAAGATCTTGTCTCTGCAAAAAATAATATTAAAAAGTCCCAGCACTTTGGGAAGCTGAGTTGGAAGGATTGCTTGTGCCTTGGAGTTCAAGATCAGTCTGAGCAAAATGTGAGACCTTGTCTCTACAGAAATAAAAGTAAAAAAATTAGTTGGGTGTGGTGGTGCAAGCCTGTAGTCCCAACTTGGGAGGCTGAGGCCAGAAGATCATCTGAGCCCAGGAGGTTGAGGCTGCAGTGAGCTATGATTGTGCCACCGGACCCCAGCTTGGGTGACCAAACAAACAAATAAAAACTCAAAAAAATAAAGCCGGGCTCGGTGGCTCAGCCTGTAATCCCGCACCTTTGGGAGACTGAGGTGAGTGGATTGCCTAACCTGCGGGTTTGAGACCTGCCCAGGCAACTTGGCGAGACTTCATTTCTACAATAAATCAAAAAATCAGCCGGGCATGGTAGCACATGCCTGTAATTCCGGCTACTTGGAAAGGTGAGGTAGAGGATGGCCGGAGCCCAGCAGGTCGAGGTTGCAGTGACCGGGAGTGGCCACTGCACTCCAATCTGGGCAACAGAGTGAGACTCCAACTCAAAAAAATAAAATAAAATAAAATAAACAAACTTTGCTCTTAACTCTTTAGCAGTATTTCCTGCAAGAGTAGAGGCTATTCACTGTCATTATAAATTAAGTGGTGCTGAACAAAAAACAGAAGTAGAATCTCCTTTGGCTCAGGATATCAGTTTCCTTATCAGAAAATTGTGGATATTAATACCTGCCCTGCTTACCTCACTGGGTTATTTTAAGGGTCAAATGAAAGAATGTATGAGAAAATATCTTGCAACCTGTGAAGTATGGCGTTGTATCAAGATCACATTTTTACTTTCACAGCTTTCTGCAAATATGTCAGTGAGCTCTTTGCCAAATAGAATGTGTGGAGATGATTGAGGGACGCTTCAGAGCAGATCTATGAGAGAATTTTGTCAGCTTCAGCTCCTCCCTTTGAATAGAAGATCCCAAGTCTATGAACCTCAACACTGGCTGCATTTTTTTTAACCTGGGGAGCTTTTTAAAGGCATCCATATGCAGGTGCCCATCAAGTCAGAATTGCCTAGAAGTAGGGCATGGCATTGGGATATTATTTGTTTATCTTTTTGGAGATGAGTGTCTTACTCTGTTGTCCAGGTTGGAGTGCAGCAGCATGATCACAGCTCACTGCAACCTCGAACTCCGTGCCATAAACAATTTCCCTGTCTCAGACGCCGGAGTAGCTGGGACCACAGGCATGTGCCACCATACCCGGCTAGATTGTTTTTTTTTTAAATTGTAGAGATGAGGTCTCATCAAGTCTGCCAGGCTGGTCTTGAACCTCTGGACTCGCAATCCTCTGGTCTCAGCCTCCCAAAGTGCTGTGATTACAGGCATGAGCCACTGCGCCTGGCCTATGTTAGGGTACGAATAGAGTGAGGGTGAAGGATAGGATGGAGAGGCAAGGGCAGGCATAGCACCAACGGAGCTGACGTGTCGGAGGTGCACACTGATACCCAGAGATTCAAGTAATGCAAAGAATTGCAACACACAAAGAGGTGAAAGAAGAAAAGATTTATTTAAGAAAAGTTCACTCCCCACATACAGGAAGCGGGCCTACACTCTAGATAAGTGTGGCCCCGGAGCCCCCTCGAGCCCCAGCTTAAATCCTTTTCCTTGGAGATGTTGCAATCAGGTAGACGTGACTGCTGTGACTTCCTTTTTTTTTTTTTTTTTTTTT